TCTTGGCAGCTTTTTCTTACTAAGTCTTCTCCAATACAAATTTGCAAACTTAGCCTGACTTTAGAAACACTTTTGTAGTAAACGTTATGTTTCACAATAAGGCCCTCTAGGCCTGGAATGAACTATCCTATGGAAGTGCAACATTAATGATTACTCGGTTTCTTTCCTCATTATTTTCAACCCTATTAGCGAAATGGCAACGTCAGTTGGTCCACCACTTCAACAGTCCAGACTGAAATATAGCAGCTATTGTAAGGATTGTCACCAGATCAGCAGAATAACTTCTTCAGACCCCTCCAATTACGACATTATTTCTCAGAAGTGCAGACCTGCATGTAACATGTGCGATCTTCTTTTAAAGGAAAAGGAATTTAAGGACCAGTTGTAATGTTTTTAGATACTAGGCTCATCTACGGAGCCCAATTTTTGTAAAGGAACCACCGAGAGTCACAGGTAAGTTTAACCAAGCATTGTATTGTGATTATTTTCCAAACAAAAAGTTCATTACATACAAATATAAATAAAGTTCATAAGTTTCAGTTCAGTTCATTCCTTAAATAAAGTTCATGGGGTCTCAGTTCTACCACCTGTGTTCTGTGGGAAGGAAGGGGAATTGGGGTCCAAGGAAAACTCCATCCTGTAGCTCGCCATCCAAACCTTTACAGGTGCTCCGGATGATCCGGAACCCTCATTCACAAAAAACCTGACCTGGAAAAGGTCACAAGGAATAATAAAAGAACATGAATCTTTAAAGGATAAATACAAATATTTGTCATGTTGTACATCATATTAAGACATATGTCACTTTAAATTATTAACAGTTTTTTAGTTTTAACAACTGCACAGAATGAATCGCTCAAACAAAAAGAAACAACACAAAATAATTACAGGGCTAAAAAAATTAAAAACCCTCCACAATCAAATAATAATTCATTCAACCCAGCGATGCTAACTGCTAAGCTAGCGGGAAATTAAATTCAGTCTTGTTACTAGTGATGTGACCTTTCATGTCGAGGCTTCGAAGCCTGTCGAGTAATCCAGGACGATTTTTGTGAAGCGCGTATCGAGGCTTGTGTTGATGACGTATGTGGTGACGTTCAAAGCCTCGCCAGCCGGCCATACCACGTGACAGGTTCACGGGTTTGGTGTGCGATTCGAAATATAAGGGGAAGCGAAACGCAATGGATTCCCTGTCATATTTTGTGTACTTTGTATTGTACTATTCTCTGTACCCCAGCTTCATCTGTGCCCTGTGAAAGGGTGTTTTCTAAAGCAGGCGAAAGCCCAGCACTGTGGAAAAGTTGTTATTTTTAAATAAAAATGAATAAAATCAGATAACTAGAGTCACAAACCGAGAAACGCAAGCACATTTGGCCGTGGCTCAATGGGTAGAGAAGGTTGTCCGGCAACCGCTAGGGCAGCGGTTCGATCTTTGACTGTAACATGTTAAATATTGACGTCAAATTTCGTACATGTATAAGACAATAAATTCCTATCTTTAACTTTTTTTTTTTTTACTTTTCACATCACAACCCTCTCCCCAATTTGTTTCCACTTTCCCTTTTGACCCCACCATTGTATCATGAAGACAGACACCATATTAATAAGTTCATAAGTTATGTATTGGCATCACAAACATCAATCATTCATTTATTCAATTCAATGCTTCACACACCAAAGCCATGGTGTCATTTTAATCACTGCCTGTTTTACATTTATTGTCCACTTGATGGCGCAGTAGAGAAAATGAAGCACCATGAAGCTTCGACCCATGTGTGAACCAATTGGATGGAAAGCTTCAATGCTTCATGAAGCTTCATCTCGCCATCACTACTTGTTACTACTCACCGCTGACTGCAGAATCAGTGCGAGAAACCACACTGCTGTCTAGTAACGTCGCTTCTTTTCAGTTGCTGTCCAGCAGAGCCACATCTAAACCAGTTGATGGGTCTACCCCGGATATTTATGGCAGCGCGCCGTCCGCGATTGGCTACGTAATTTGCGTATTATTAAACAGTATCTGGATCAGAGGGTCACATGCAGCCTTATCAACAGCAGAATCTGAGTTTTACAAAATCCTAAAATCAGTCTTTGGGTAAATACCAAGCACGGTAAGTCAATATTTTGTAGATTGTACAATGCTCTCTTTTATGCTAAAAATGAAAACACCCTGTCCATAAAAAAGTGGGCAAAGGAAGCGGGATTGGGGCTTTGTGAGGACGCTTGTGGGGGAGATTTGCAGTTTTCAACGGTCCTAAACTAAGTCCATCGATTGGAACACTGCTGGAAAAATGAAGATATTTTAAGACCCCATACCAGGAGACAAATATGAGTTTAACATGTTGGAGACAATGTGGCTCAACGGAGGCAAATTTCCATATATTCTGTGACTGTCCCACGCTGATTTGATATTGGAATGGCATTCACAAATCATTAAACACGGTATTCAAGACTCAAATGCTCCTGAACTTGGAGACTCTTAATCTGGGCCACGTTTTGTTTTTGAAACAGAGGGACAGAAAGCTGCTGCAGGCCCTCTCGGAGGCAAGTCAAAATATCAATCACTAGAGAGTGGCTGAATCCAGTACCACCTACACTGAAAGTTTTGTACAGAATAACTTTGGAAATATTGAAAATGGAAAAGTTGACTTATTCTGTGAAGATCCAAATGACAAATTCTCTCAAATTTAGAATGACTGAATGAATTTTTCTATCGATATACAGTATGCTCCTGGAGCATCGTCATCAGGTCCACATTTTAAAATGTATTAGTATATATTAGTATATTAGTTCATGTCCAAAAACGTAGCTGTACTTTGTGCTTAGTAGGCTAAACTAAGATGTTGAACCTGGTACATATAGCCTGCTGAGGATCAGCTTGGTAACATTGTCAGTACAGTTGCATATGTCCATGTGTACATGCATTTGGCAAAAATAAGGTTAATGAAATGATGGTAATATTTGCTGTCTAGTTCCTCCTGTTTCTTCCTGTCCCTACTTCCTCCTGCTACAGGCCATGAACATTGATGACATGGTGCCATCTGTATGTCTGAGCAAACACATCTGTGTACAGACTCTTGTAGACACAGCAGTGCAAGGACAGTGCATGACAGAAACAATCTGCGTACATGATCAGATTAGATGTGGGATCACCTTCCTGAACACATTTGCATAGTAATGAGAAAAATTGATGGGACAAGCTTTGTGTTTTAAGTGCTTCCTACATTCTTAGGAAGATGGTGATGAATTTAATGTTATCTTACTGTCTAGCATCAACTGCATTGATTTTCTTACAACTTTAGCCGTCTCCAAGCTCAAAGAAGACATGCTGCTCCCTTAGTATTGCTACTTCTCCCGGTGGAATAAGACAAAGGGATCTATTAAAACAGATCTTGTTTTTGTGTGGAGTTACTTGGTGTCAGGTGACGTCTGCTGAATCATCTGTGACAAAAGGATTATAGGCCTACTGGTTCTGCTTCTCCAGCTGTTGATACACACCTTTTTTTTCTTTCCCCCTCATGTCCAACAGTAAACTTTCACATGGCAGAATGAATCGCCAAGCGTTGCCTCTACCCCTAACTCTGTAGCCACATAATATGCCAAGAGGAACACACATCCCACGGTTTTGTTCCACTCGGTCTTCAGCCAAAGTCACAGTCAAACTGGAGTCAACCATCCACACAGAGAAGGAATACCTCCAGTTTTATGGAGTCGTAATGCGGTAGGGGTACTGTATAAATAATCTCCACGCACAGAAACACTTCCAGCTGTTAAACAATATGCCCATTGCAGATTTTCTTTTTGAATGCATGAAGCATCTTGCTCAGACTGCTTTGGAAATGAATTCGGGAGGGGGGGGGTTATTGAGAAATTCTGTTGTTGAATATTTGCCTTTTGTGACACCTCCAGATTGTTGCACTTAATGCTGATTATTATTACAGAGTGGAGTGCCTGTTTCAAACGTTGCTGTTGAAAGTCGGGTCATAATGTGAAATTCAAACTTCACAGGCTGTTTACAATTAGGCCCTTTGATGCATTCCTCTGTAATCTCTCCCTCCTTTTGATATAAAGACTCAGTATTGATATAAATGAAGGGAATTTGCCTTTGTTTTTAAAGCCATACCTGTGGCTTTTGATTGATGGATGGAAACTGTATGCTAGATTTATATAATATAGACTTGTTTAAAACCTCACTCTTGAGGTCATAGTTTCCCCAAAGACTTCAGCAGTATTTTGTATCAACACAGTCAGAATGGTGATCCACTGAGTGAAAAAGTCTTATCCCCGTTGGATAACCATGAAACGTTATTTGTGAACAAGGGATGATAAAGTAAATCCAGGGCTTTCTTCAGGGGCATCCTCATTGCCTTCGGCCAGGTTGCAGTGCTGGTCAGTGGAGGGGGAGATGAGAGGGGAGCCCCTCTTCATCTCGTAAAGATCCTGCCGTTTGGCAGCTTTCACGCTCCACTGGCTGATCCTTCCAGGAAGTGAGGAGGGGGGGCAATAAGGAGCCCCCCTCTCCCGCAGAGCCCCAGCATGTACCACGTCTGCATGCTGGGCCCAAATCAAAGGGGGCAGTCTGTCCTTAGCCTGGGGGAGAGTGAGTCTGCTGTGTGTGTGTGTGACCAAAGAGACATGGGTAATCGGACAGCTTGTCACACTCGTGCAGATGCCTGTATTTTTGACAGTTGGTTTGCTTCTCTCCTGCTTAGGTTGCACAGTAACAATACCATCAAAATAACTGATGCATTTGCAGTGAAGTCACATTTACAGTCGTGATCTTGGCACCTTTCAGAAGAGACCAGAGGAAGTCATGTAGCCATCTTAGTTATTCCTATTAGATCAAACGCATTAAAGACTGCAATCATACGATGTAGCAATATTGGCAGTTATTGTTGATGTTGAAACTTGAGGTAAGAGGTTTAGGGTTGTTAAGGTTGAAAGGGCTATCTATTGTCACTGCAATAACTAATAAAACTGTTTCTTTTGTTCTGTTTCAGTTGGTAGCCAGTGAGTCCAGCCTTTCAGATGAAGAGCCTTCAGTTCCGGAGCATCGCCCCCAAGGCCCCGGCCGTGGTGCCCTCCCCCTCCCCTGCGGTCCTGTCCTGCCAGCCTCCCTCTGCCCTCCCTGAGGCTACCACCGCCTCCAGCCCCAAGTCCATCATTGTGCCCACCCAAAACTATGCACTGATGCAAATAGCAGGTCAGGATGGCACGTTCTCTCTGGTGGCACTGCCCCCCTCTGTGTCCTCTCAGACACCACAGCAACAACAGCAACACACCCAAAAGAACCTCAAGTTGCCCATTCCCAGATACCAGCCAATGAGGAGCAAGGGGACCACAGATAAGGTCAAGTCACCACCACTATCTGCTAGGGTGAAAACAGCCTCCAAGGTTGCTGTGACGGCGCAAACTAAGTCAGTTGTAAGTGGGGCATCAACAGTGATGAAGAAAAAACAGCAGGGGTGCAAGCACACAAAGGAAACCCTAGTGCCCAAAGAGGAGCCTTCAGAGCAGGTCATTCTGATTGAACCAGCCTCCTCTGACATCTCTGTCACTGCTCTACTCCCAGACAATGCTGTCCTGTACCCGGGTTCTCAGTTAGAGCGAGCACAAGATGGCTCTGAACTACCCACTACAACTAGTCTTATTCAGAATCTCCAGTACCCCCCCGCTGCTGTCAAAGGCTCTCCAGGCAAATCCCAGGAAGAAAGTAAGACTACACTGAGGCTGTGCCCATCTAAGTCAGCTGCAGCCCAGCCCCAGAGCAGTATCACTGTCCTGTCCTCAGCCATTTTCAGCAAAGCAGTGCAGATTATCCCGTCCCCACCTAAAGGTAAACTGCCCATTCTGCCCTACTCTAAAATGAAAAGTACCCTTATCCCAGCTGCCAAGCTCAACAATTTGTCACCAGAGAAGAAAGGTTTCTCTTGCCAGACTGGACTCACCAGCCCCTTAGATCCTACATCCAAGACCCTCGAGACAGCTGACGCCTTGGGTCACAACCAGGTGCCAAAATCAACTCTACAGCCCCAGGCCAAGACTACACTCATGCCTGTGTTGGGAACCCTCCAGAAACCACCTGGCAAGAAGAGGGGGAGGAAGAGAAAGACCATGGAAGACATCTTGGCATTTGAGGCGAGAAAGAAGAGGTCTTTGTCTTTCTTCCGTAGGAGGGTCCCAGAGAAACCACCAGCAGTTGTTCCAGGCTCCAAACAAAAGGAAGTTGATATTTCAAAGAAGTACCGCAGCATCCGACCCAAGCCCATGTTGGTTATGGAGACAGTTCCCCAACTGGTTAGTTTGCCTGCCATTACGCCAGATGGCCAAGAACAGGACCTCGTTCTTGGTCATCAGCTACCCACCACTACCACAACCAAGGCCCTGGACTGTCCTCCCCAACCAGCCCCAGTAACCCTCCACCTGAGAGGTGCCTCCCATTCGCGAGTGTTCATAGGCAGCCGTCCACTCCACCGTTGCCCCACCTGCAGCCGCTGTTTTCAATTCAAGCATCACCTCCAGAGCCACATGAACAGCCACACTAACAGCCGGCCCTACGTCTGCCCAGTCTGCCGCAAAGCGTACGCTCACTCTGGCAGCCTGAGCACCCACATGAAGCTTCACCACTCCGAGGTACGCCCACGTCGGTCGCTGAGCTGCGAGTTCTGCGAGAAATCGTTTGGATATGTGGGGGTTTACTTCAGCCATTTGAGAGAGGTCCACAAGGTGGTGCTGACCGTGGAGCCGTCCATCAGCCACCATGAGAACGACCCGTCTGTGGAGGGGTGAGATTATAGATTGAGCACCTACTTCATTGTGACCTTTACTTTATAGCAAGTTTAATGCAGAGATGTCAACATATACATTTAATGGCTAAATAAATAAATGAATGACCTGACTAGGCAACTTTTTCCAGTCATAACAAAGTATTGTTTGTTATTTTCCTCACAAGGGCCAACTTCCCAGAGCCATCAGATGAGCAGGATCGCGAAGACCCGGTGGAGCTGCAGATTAAATGTGGCCGCTGCCAGGCCATCACTCCCACCTTTGCTGACATGAAGATGCATTTACTGCATGTGCATGGGGAGGAGGTCCAGGTTCCATTACATGATGGCCAATCGGTGCGGGTTGGCCGCGAGGCTGAGAATGAGCTAGTAAAGCATGCTGCCCACTACTGGCGACAGCTCAACGAGAAGCGCAACCTGGTCAAGTGCGGCAGCTGCGACGAGGAGTTCATTTCCTTTTCCAAGCTTAAGAGGCACATCATGTGCCATCACCGTGGAAGGGAGGGGGAGGACAGCGAGACCCTCTCATCACCAGATAGGGGTGGAGGCCTTGGAGTCCTTGCAGCAGGTGCGGCCTTCAACTGTGTGCTTTGCAGCGAGGTGTTGGACAGTAAAGAGGGGGTTATGGAGCACTGGAGGAGTCGCCACCACTGTGAGCAGCCCAACGTTCTGTGGCAAGCACTGAGCTCCTACTCTGGCCAGGAAGAGGCTGAGGCGGATGGGGACCTGGACACTCCTGCTCCAAGCCCACACTATCCCGCCTAGCCCTTAGATGGGCACTGAGCCCTTACGGTGACTCCTTTCACACACTCAGTCCTAACAAACGGCATCACAGGGATGGAGAGTTTCTGTTATGTCTTTTGTCACGAGTTTCATCTCTCACCAGTTGAGGGTTTTGACTTGGTCCAAAAAAGAAAATGGTAAAAGAATATCAAGCCAATGGTGAAAATTGATCTTAGTGTTACAATTCATAAGGGATAGTATCTCAAGGTCAGAGAATCCAATTTTATAGGTAATATTATTTTTCATGTTTTTTTGATTGCACTGTTTTGTTTTTGGACATTTTGTTTGGATGTATGTATTTAATATCCTGGGGATTATTATTTTCTACTGCTTATTTAAATCTTGTTCAAAGGGTAATTTATAACCTAGTTGACACAGTAATACTGTCAAAGGGTAACTTCTCCCAAATTCGTACCTCTTATGGGATCTAGCCATTCTTGCCACACGGTGGATCTCACACATACGCACAGGTCGAGTTGTGACCATGCGATGATGTAGGCTGCACGTCCCAGTACAAATTCGTTATGTCGTCAAGCAATCTGTTCCTTCTATTTTCTCGCAGTTGAGTAAACTGATCGTAGGTCAATTTGGCTTGTCGCTTGTAGTTTCCTAACCTGAGGGTTGGTGCTTAGTTTTGTAACCAGTTTTTATTTATCCGTTTTCTGTTCTCACAGTTACGGTTCATGCTGAACTACCACTAGACCGGTGAATAAACCGGCGGTTTGCCGGGCTCATTGCTGACTTAAACCAGGTGTTTTTTTGCTTCTTGCTGTGCTGTTAGCTCTCTGCTCTTGGAGGGATGCAACTTCGGCAGTGAGTACTCGTTAAATGGTAGGTTACTAGGGTAAGTTAATCCGGTAGAGCTTTAGTGCAAAGCTGCTACCGTGACTATGATTTCATGCCATGTGTATTTTTTATTTCTAAAGAAGGATGGCCGGTTCCAACCAATCCTAGACCTGGGGCGGTTGAACAAGTTTTTAAAGGTTCTGCCAATCCGAATGTTGCAGATGGCAGATGTTGTCCAGTCAGTTGCACAGGGGGCCTGATTTGTGTCAATAGAGCTCAATGATGCCTATTTGCGCTTAACACACACTACACCACAGGCAGTTCCTGAGGTTGGCCTTACGAGGGCAGGCTTACCAATTCACAGTGATGCCGTTCGGTCCCTCAGGGTGTTCCGTACTTATGTCCCCTTCAAATCTGGCTCAATGGGCTCCACTTTGATCCCAAGTCAGGGTGTCCAGCTTTTGTTGCCAAAAGAGGAAACCAGACCTCTCTCATCTAGAGTGACGCATCCAAATCTGAATCGCTCTCTGCTGTGTTTGTCTGGCCGTTGGAAGCCTGTCATCCTGTGAACAGTCAGTGATCCACACTGTGTTAAATTTGAGGCCTCCCTCTACGCTAATATGTGGAAGCTTTTTTCCAAGCGGCACAAGACGTGGTGAGGTACCAAAGAGCTGCTCAGTGGCCATCATTCTGCGTTTCCTGCAGTCATCGTTTGATGGTGGTAGTTTCAGTAGGGCACGTGAGAGCAGACCACCAGACAGTGGGTGAACCTCTGTCAAAACAGACTTTCTAATTGAATTGTGGATGTGATTCTACACGCTTATAGGTCTCTGGTCCTGCCTGCACCTAGTAATGTAAAGTGCCAATCTACTCGGAGTGTGTCTACGTCCTGGGCAGCCTGGAAAGGGGTCTCACAAAGACATCTGTGTTACTGCAACCTGGCAATCTTCATGTAACTTTGCTCACTAACACGGCTGCTCATCATGCTACGTCAACGGCAATCCTGTCAACGGCTTCCATTCCTTAGTGCGGTAAGCGTTCCTCGTGACCTTGCTGGTATAATTCATACAGTGCTGAAGCAATGCTGTCTGGCGGTCAGGAAGAATGAAATGGAATGAGAGTTACGAATATAGTGTGTGGGAACAGATTCTTTGATGGCATTGGGTTTTGTACTGGGCCGTGCTCCTTATGTCACCTCAGGTCACAGGTGACTTTGTTGGTATGACAACTTGACCTGAGCATATGAGAATGGTGATCCAGCATCATAGAACCGTCGTTCCATTTATAAATCTAATTTTATGAGAGCACATTGTTTGAGTTATCTGTGCTGAGATTTCTGCCTCGACCCCAATGAAAACATCTCATTGTGGAAACGGTATCCCTGTCACTCTGTGGATTATTCAAAGATCTTCTTTATCTCAACCGAAACTAGCATGCTCATGGCTAGATAGCACTAGGGGAAAGTGAATCAATGTTTTGTTTTCCTTAATTTGGTTGGACTGACTGAGAAATGTCAATCTCATAACAAGGGCACATCGTCTACACCGGCTGACAATTAATCTATTGGCCTTGGATTATTACAGTTTAAAATAAATCAGTATGTGTATACAATCCTTTTATGTAATATTGCTCCTGTTACGGAAGATCAATATTTCAGTTATGACTTGAACTTTCACGGTCCGATTGAGGGCAGTATTAGGGTCCTCTGACAACCCGGACCCATGAAGGAACACTTTCCTAACCAGCACCCAAGTGACATCCGTGTGGCCTTCTGAAGAAACATCTGTGTTCATGCGTAGTGTGGCTTACCGTCAGTATGGTCCTCTGGAGGCCAAGTTCTGTTTCCTTGACTTGTTTATTATTAATGCCTATTTGTGTATTCTGTGATATGCCAAGGGTCTATTCACACTAGTGATTGTAGAAGTGAGTTTTGCATTAAGCTTTTTAACCACTGACAGAATACTTTGTGTTGACTTCGTCGATACGCAGAGGAAACCATCGAATTGCCTACCTGTTGTTGCCAGCTTATGTACGCACCTGTGGAATTGTGTGCACCCAAACTCTATTATTAGAGTTAATATAAACTGTTGTCAAGTCCAGAAAATATGCTATTTTATACTCTAGATTAATACAGAGGTCTTTTAGTATATTTATGCTTGTTGTTGGTCCTTAGAGAACCAGCACTGAGACTTTTATTATGTTTGCTTCTTCTAAGTTGGGGGATGCTTAACGTCTTGTTTCTTGATGGGAGGCCATTACTACATGGCAAGTATCTCTGCTAACATACGTCTGTGTTTATCTTTCATATGAAGAAAAAAAGAACATCACAGGGTCAAGTGAATGTACCGGAATGTTTTCAAAACCCTACCAAAAGTATATATATATATATGCTATATAGACTTATTCCATAGATAGAATATATAGATATATTGAGAAAAAAAGACACATATATATATATACATATA